ACAGCCACGTCTCTGATATTCATGTTTTATACAAAACATGACATCCTGAGATCTCTTGCTGTATGAAGTTTGATTCTTGACTGTATTTTAAGAGGGTTTGAAAGAAATCTTCCTCATCTCAAATTAGTTTTCAACTGTTGTTAAAATCTGACACACAGATTTCTGAATTTGCTTTCTGGATCTAACATTTTATACTAGCTTATGCCCACATGGAAAATGAATCATTTTTACTTTCATTCTTTGTAAAAATTACAAAGAATAGATTAAAATAATGAGACAAAAAAAAAAAAAAAAAGCGGATTTCCCAGTATGAGCTCTTTCCTACTATTTCCAACACTTCAAAGGGTAGCTGACTACATGAAAACTGTTTATAGCTTCATACAACTTTTTCCCCCGTTAACCCAGTTTTCTCCTAGCCCCTACAGATCATATATCTCTCTTCAGCTTTCAGTGTGTATTTTACTGTTATTTGCCCCATGCATGTTACTGCATAACAACAAAAACTGTTACATACAGACACTGACATGGCAAGCTCCTTTACAAGAAAGAGACTGAAAATCAGAGAAAACACTTTCTCTTAATTACAAGAAGTTACTACTTTAGAATGAACCTAAAGAAAACTTAAAAAGCAAGAATGGGTGTTTGTATGAGTGAAGTAATTTTTTCAGATTTTAATCAAGATCTCAGATGGACTCTGAGCCCTAACTTAAGATATAAACCATTTCACAACTTTGTTTTCAAAAAAGCAAAACAAAAATTTCAAAACAGCAGTGTGTAAGCAGATGAGAAATGTACCTTGAGAGTATATTACCCTATTTACATTGCTCAAATACTGTTTTCTTGGTAGAGTTTCAATTAAGTTTGGCCTTGAAAAATTTAATACTCCGGGGATATATCAATGTAAGGCATTTGGTCTGCTTTTTGGAATACATTTCTATATCAGGGACTACTGGAATTACTCAGGCTTCTACAAGACACCAAGACAATGAGAATCCATAGTCTTCAAGTTTATTCCTAATGCTCAGTCTGAAACAAGCCATGCATGTAGGCCTTAAGGATCTTACATAGCTTTCTGTTCCACCAGACCTACAGATGAAGCATTGTACAGTTGTAGGTTGACCCACTATAAACTTCTCTAATTTGGAACCTTTAAGTTTTCTATAAGCTCAAAGTCTGTAGAACTTGCAGAATCCAATGCAAGTGAGTTTCTATAAAGAAATAAATAATCATTATGCTGGAGTTACTGACCTGTGGCCCACTCCCAATGATAAAGTAAAACTCATTAGCTTAAATCCTTAATGATAAACCAACAGCTCTGAAAACAGTTTTTCCTTACAACAATACTATGCAAAATGAAAAAGATTCTACCTTGAACATTTCAGAAGTAATCAGACACAGTGATGAATATGTCAATTTTGAGTACAGAGTCACGTTCTCTTAGAAGTGCTGCTGGACTCCTTTAAGACAGGTTTTGTAAGTCTAACTTTTAAGCCATATTGGAAAGATCTCATGCATTCACTCAGGAAGATGTCTTAGTCTTTTTAAATGAAGAGCCCTACCCAAGTTATGAGCAAATAATAGCTTTACCTTAATGCACTTCAACTTCCCTCGGACCATTTTCACACAGGTTTTAGTTCTACTTCAAAGTAGTTTTTTAAAGATATAACTATATATATATTTTTAAAATACCAGGGCTAGCTGATTGTGCATTCACAGTTGCTAGAATGAAATATAATTTTTTAGACTTTTTTTTACTGCCACACCTCACTCTCATCAGATTAAGATAAAGAAGAATGATTTTTAATAGCAACAGTATTGTATTAGTATTCAGACATCCCAGTACATTACACTGTGTATTACACAAACACTGAAGACGCTCCCTGCCCAGAAACTTAATCTCCTTCAAGTGATAATGAAAACAATGTTTATGAAAACATGAAAGATAAATGTGAAACAGCCATAAATTAAAACACCAGAACAAAGCTGTGTAATGACAGCATATCAGATACCAAAGGTTAGCATTTGTAACTTCCCTTCTTGTTGCTTCTTGTAGCACACTGTTGTAATTATTGCTCCCAAGGCTGAAGCTGCCAACAGATTCTCTCAACAATACCTAAGAATAAACATCTGAGCATCACATGGTTCTCATTTCTTCTCTACTGTGTAAGCAGCATTTGTCAAATTACATTTTACATAAATTTGAGGCAATTGCACTATAAAACAAAGAAGTATCAATATATACTATTATCAGATATGCTGTCAGTTAGGATGAAAAATCAGTAACTCACAGGAGGAACTAGAGACAATGTCAGCAACAACTGTTCTGCATACTAACATATGTTTTATGATACTGGATGCTAAAAAAAAAAATCTTATTTCCAAAAAAGGGATACAGCATGTGGAACTATCCCTATTCGTTATCCTCAGAGTCTTTTTACAGTGGCTCTTCTCCTGATCCAGATTCCTCCAGTATGTTCCTAATATTTACCAAATGACCCTGTTTAACAGGCATAGAACATGCCTCTCTTCCTTTTTCGTATTTGTGCCTCAAACACATACAGAATGAGTTTCCCTTATTATTCCCAGAGCTTTTTATACCAACAAAGGGATTTCTCCAGGGTCACTTCAGAGTCACAGACAGAATTCACAAATTTCATTTACTTTTGACTTGTCTCATTGAGGTGGATTACTACTGAGACCTAGGGGGAGGTATTAAATTACTATTTTGTTCAGGTATTATATCTGTTTCTCTTAAAGTTGTCTAGAATAAATTCTCATTCTGAAAACGGGATTCACTTATTTTAAATCACTTTACCTCACTTTTGGATTTTACAGTAATAAATCTTAATTAACCTCAAGGTTTCTGACATGACCTTTTTTTTTTTTCCTCAAATATCCCCTGTTCATGCTGACATAGTAAAGTCAATACATGTTGCTAATCAAGTAACAGGCATACTGAGAGGAAACAAAAAAATTATGTTCTGACTTCATAAATATTCAGTAAAGGAAAAACCTCTTGCTTCAAGTTCCTCATTCAACAATTATTGACATTAGGATGGCTTCACAGAACATTCTAGTCTACATCAAACTAAACAGAAACAAATTATGAGACACTATAGGCCTCATTTTTTTTAAAATCAATAAATCATGCAAATAGTGAGTAAAAATTAATACTGCACTCTGTTTTTTAAAAAAATGAGATTAGTGGGCAGAAATACAGGAAATCACATCCAAAATAAAGACATGATACTTCTTTAACTCATTACACACTTGCATTTAAGGGAAACTTGTTTGCCTGCAATTGGGTTCTACAAGATAAGCTGTAATCACTAAAATCACTCAACTGCTTAGAGGAAAAAAGGAGAAAGAGAAAAGGATCTTTAAAAAGAACACAAGCTAACTAATGCAACTCATGTTTTTCAAACTAGATTTAACAAACAAGCATTTTGCAAATGAACCCTTACGGTTCTACCTGTGATTGCCACTCAGCCTTCATTTTCAGTGTCAACCATGACATCCCCTGAAGACATACAATTAAAGTCAGATTTTAATGTAAGCCTGCATCATTTACAGTCTCATACTGCATATTTTTCCCAATCTACCTGCAGGGTCCAGTACAGTTTCCATAAAATGATGTTAAAATAATAATCAAAGGAGCCATTGAGATCTCCATGACACTACACCTGGGCATGGAAATCCAGTCCCATCTTTGATATTAAAAATAAATGGGAGAAAGTTGCTACTGTGGGGAAAAAAAATACACAAAAAAAATCCTTACTCTTCAATCTCAAAATATTTTGGTTTCTGCTCTAAGCCACAGCAAAAATCTGCACGTTCCAAAGTTCAGCTTAATTTTTTTTTCTTCTTTTCTTCTTAAATTAGCCGTCATAATGTAAACTCTGCAAGAAAGTTATCTTCAGCAAAGAAATCGAAAAGGAAAGTTGGAACTTCTATCCTTTCACTTCTCTGTTTATTTGATTGTAATACTGAACTGGAGTGAGAGGAAAACTGTAATGAATCAGAGTGAGTTAAGCATGGTTAATGGATTCCGTTGTGGGGGAAATGGCAGGTATGTTGCCTAGACTGGGACTTTCAGTAGCAACTATATTAAAAATCACATTACCTAAAATGTAAAACTGCATTTTCATAAGCATTTTTGTAAGTATCCCATCTCTGTTCTTTTAAACTGTGGAGCTTTCAACACCTCTGTTATTGTTATGTTAACTTAATTGCTTTTTGAATTGCAATATTCTCTTCCACTGAATTTTACACATGAGGTAAGGAGAAAGAACTCATCCCTCATTCATTCCTTTACCCTTCAGAAGCATCAGAAGAGCTGTATATATATATATCTTTATTTTGTTTGGACCATATGCTGATTTTAGTACTGCTAAACTTACTGGCTATACTTCAAATTAAACTGAATGAAAATGGTGCATGCCTATGATACTAACGCTGTGTAACTATGTAAATGAAGAAATCAAGGCATACTCCTCAATTTTCCCAAGTTTATGTCACTCTAAAAACATTCTGCTAATCTAATCCCATAAAATGTGTTTAAAAGATAAACTTTTCATAAGGAAAAGACTAACAAGAATTGAAATGACTGTTGCCTTAAAAACAAAAATCTGCTTTCTTGACTTGCATTTTAAACTTTTTGTCAGCGTTTTAAATATTTGAAGCATTTATATTGTTACAAAGCATTCCATTTCGGACTATACCGACTGGAGAGATGAGGTACAACAATTTCAGACCTCTTGTTAAGAAAATAAAGCTGACTACTCTGGTGCCACACTTTTATTTAGTGCACTGGAAACACTTTTTCTAACAGAATCTTACTGCAGTTGGCTTATTCTGGCAGAAACGTGAATACCTTAGACAGACAGAAGTTTTACAGCGAGAAGGTCATAGGCTTAGTTGGGATCTGCACTTGTCTGATTAACAGAGAATGTTTTACCACAATTGGCTCTCATCACTGACTGATTTTTGTTTCCAAATACCTGTCATCACCATCACTGATGCATTCAGGAAGAGCAAGACTACAGCCAAACAGCATGATGTGTTGATAGCAGCTGAGACGACTGAGATAACTGAAGAACTTCAGGAACTTTTCCATTTCAATACTTTTGACAATGGAAAGAACTGAAGTTTGAGTCGTGTAGTTATATGGCAGCATTTGGCACTGGCTGTTGGTGAGATTTATGCAGGCACCTGTGAAATCAAAACAATATATTTAGAACAAAAGTATCACCATTAGTTGTTTCAAAGTATGTACTGAATTAAGAAGTCAGCAAATATAGCATATAAGCAATGTCTGTTCCTCATGGATAAGGGGACATTCCATAATGCTATCACAACATTGTCCAAAAATGCATATCCAAAAACAAAAAGAATTCAAAGAAACTTTGTAGGTTAGCTTGGAAAAACAACTAAACTCATATTTTCACAATCCTCTGACCCTCTAAAAAACTGTACAAGAAATAAAACCAATTTCTTTCTGATACAGGTTGGATGAACCCACCATAGGCATAGCTTGGATAGCTTTTTCCTCTTTTTTCAATTCTGGCAGACTTCCTGCTAAAATCATCAACTTGTTTATCTACTTTTCCCAGCATGGTGATTCTCCCTACACAGTCTTTCTTCTTTATTTTATCAGCACAAAATTATCTTGCTTTAATGGTTGACATATGCCCTGTTCTAAACCATCATTGTCCCACTACTGACCTATGACACCAATTCTCTATCCATGCCATTTTATACATAGCAAGCTACCTCAGTGTGATCAGCAGGTTAACTTAATGTACTAAGTTCTTAAAAGTTTTACAAACCATACATAATTTTAGAATTTTAAACAAGAATAAATTAATAAAATCCAATGCTAATGGATTTCCTGAGTAGATGAAGGCATTTCTTGGCTGTCTAGTCCTTAATTTGGGGAAACAGAGTCACATAGGACTTTCCAAAATTGAAATTTCAACAGAATGATTCACAAAACCTCCACCTATCACCTGAAGCACAATGGCAAAGCAGTCCCTTCTAAGATCATATTCTGGGCTGCTTCCGATCTTTTAAAATTTGCACACTCCTGACAGCAGAGATATAAAATTCCATGAACCTACCTGATCTTTAAGGAGTGCTCCATAGCTGAGTAACACAGTACTGAGGATGAAATTTTATAGTAATTATACAAGAACTTCTAAAAATAAGATAGATGGAAGGAGGGACTAAACCCAGGACCTGCCCTTTTAACAAAGTCATTCATACTTTATCATCAGTTTCATGATTCTGGCTTTCTAGTACAGCATCATTTATGTACTTATCCCAGGCATGTCCATATCTTAGATCACTCTCCTGGAAAGCAGATGCCTTAGTTAGAGCCTCATCTTTTAACACAGGTACTCAGCCCACCTTCTTTCATCCAGCCTATAAATTGCACTGCAATTGTAAGCGTATGAAGTCCATATTCTCCTTCTAAGTCAAAAAGTATAGTTTCAAGGTAATAGCAATTGTTTCATCACAAAGTCATCACATACCACATTCTCACTACAGTAAGAACAGGAAGTGCTACAGTCTCAAAAACCTACTCTGGCAGATTAACAAAATACACCTTGCATTCTCACTTGTTTAGTTTTGCATAGGACTAATTAGCTCAGGAGAAGCACCCCCCTGGCTCACTTATACTGCACAGACCAATAGAGCACAAATACACAGCTAGCACTCAGGACCCTAACCCAGCAACAGGAAAAGTCTTGCAGTTTTACAGGGGACCTTACTGAATTTTCCAGTTTCCCCTCAAGTGCCACACAAATGCATTAGTCGATTATACTTTGAGTAACACACTATTTCACAACCATGCTGTTGTTTCACCCACAACACAACTCCCAGCAGCCTCCATTTCCTAACATGAGGGAAAGCTTAGTTGCTGACTGTATACATTGAGTTACTGCTCCAGTCTGAATACATTCTCAGAACCTTCTTCACATTTTTCCACACTCCCAGAAAAGCTGTGCCTTTGTTCTCTTCCAGCACATATTGTACATAACAGAAAACATCAACCCATCCTTACAGAACAGCACACGTTCGTATTACATTACTGAAGAAAATAAAAAGGATACATATGTTTTCTGGAGGAAGAATGCCAACATTTTTCTACAAGAAACAGCACCATTGGCAAGATTTAACTTGCCTATTTTTCACAACTTTCTCAGTGTTATGTGCAGGTGCCCAGGTGTTTGTAATAGGGGGCTGAAGAGCTCCTCCATGATGCAAGGCTAGGGCTGCTCTAAGCCAGATACTGCCAGTTCCACTGGCCCCACCACAGGGCATTGTTGGGCTCCACCAAAATGATTGCACCTCTGGGAAAGCATGTTTGAGAAAGAAGAAAATGCTGGAGAGAGTTATCGGGGAAAAACAGAAACAAAACACATGTTAGATATAATCCTGCAGAAGCCAAGCTCAGAGCAAAATGAGATAGAAGAAGCACTCCAAATATCAGAGCAGAGATTATGCAGCCCATGGAAGAGAATGGTGAAGCAGAAATTGTTCTGTGGCTCCTGAAGAGGAGCACAGTGGAGCAGATTTCCACACTGCATAAGACTCCATGCAGATGGCTACATTCAGAAGGAGCTGTAGCCCATGGAGGACTGATATTTGAGTAGCTCACCACAAAAGACTGAAGTCCAGACAGGGCACCTATATCAAAACTATTCTTGAAGGACTGCAGTCTGTGGAACCGTTTTCACACTGGAGCAGGGGAGAAGCATAAGGAGGAAGGAGCAGATGAGAGAAGCTGTTATGAACCAACAGCAACTCTCAATCACTGTAACATACACACCAGTTGAGAAAAAAGGAGTAAAGATGAGCAGCTGGGAAAAAAGACGCATTGGGAGAAGGTTGTTTTGCTTTTATCTGTTTCTCACCATTCAACTCTTTTTTTAAACATCAATAAATTCAATTTATCTTACCCATGTTGAGTTTATCCTTTCTGGCACATCAGTTGGTAAGTGGCCTCCTTGTCTTTAGCTCAACCCACAAGAAACTTTACTTATATTTTCCCCCCAATCCTATTGAGGAGGAAGGATGAGAGAGCAGCTGAGTGGACTCCTGGCAGCCAACTGAGGTCAACCCAAAACAATAATGCCCACTTAGTTTAAATACCTACTTCAAGAATAAAATGGCTTATGTTGTGACAACCACTATGTTAAATAGGAATCATATTTAAAACTAATTACTCAGAAATTACCTAAAGATAGTGAAAAGTGCTCCATACGTTAATTTTGAAGATTTTGCATCACTGTTAGGCAATTAAATCTATATATTTGCTGAAATGTGCCAAAACTTTAAAATGCATAAAATAAGAGCACAGAAAAAAACACAGACCAAGATGGGTCACCATAATTATATTCAGAAAGTGTGTGTATCAGTCCAGGGCTCATACAGTTCAAGATGTCTTTAAAACTACTAGGTGCATATGATCTTTTGCTCAAAACGAGGTAACTCATTGATAAACTGCTGAAAGAGGACTATTGCCTACTTGCACGTAAGTTTGAGTTGTTAAATAATTGTTTTGTATGTACACCATTAAAATGCCACAACACAAATGATAAGACATGCTGACAACAACTTTGGTGCTAAACCAGCCAAGAGCCATCTTACCCTACGTTACAACTGAGTCACCTCTTCAGGGAGCCAACAAACAGCACCTTGTGAAAACCACAGCACTACATGGCTCTGAGCAAAGGGAAAAGGGTCTCTTTCTCAGCAGTATTAACGTTTTAACGAAGCCCAGGTGACTCATAACAGATTACATGTGCGGGAGGAAGGAGATAAGATTTTGAACATCAAGCCTCTTCAACAGATCTAAAATAGAAGTAAAACTCCAAGGCTAGTTAAAAGCAATTGCTGTGGATTTAACTTAGCTCAGCTAATGAATTATACAATTTGAAAGGAATGAGTGATTCTCAGCTCCATAGTTACCAAAGGGAAAGGTGATAAGGACAGTGACCACCTGCAGCAGACAGAAAAACAGTTCATTATCTCCCAGGTCACAGAGAGAAAGCCATGAGGGGCATATAACTCATAGTTTAAATCAGAGTTTAAATGTTACTGTATTTTTTTTAAAGGTAATCTTGTTTTAAAGGTTGCTCTACAGAGAAAGTTGTGGAGCACCACATCCAGTCTGCATCAAACACTTTTTGCAAAGAGCTTGACCCAATTGTAAATTCTAACTTGTTTATTCTACTGAGAAGGGCTATTGCAGAAAACTGGACTTGTCAATAAGCCATTTCATTTTTTGAGCCCCAATTCTTTTAACACAAGCAATTCCAAAAATTTCCCTTCTTAGCTACGGCACATACTTGCTTCTTTAATCCCTTAGACAGGAACAGCTGAGAGCAAGTAAGCTCATTAGCTAAAGGTGAGGCTGAGTACCTACCCCCATGAGGTGTGACCTGGCCTATATTCCAGATCTGGTATTCTGATTAGCTATTTCCTAATGGCCATTTTATTGGGATTCTTTAGTGAAATTGGAGACATATTTCAAAGAACCTACCATTAAATAAACAAAAGACACAAAATGAAATCGATTTTAGGATTAGATCAATCATTAGAGACTACTGGACTGCATTCTGCTATTGTTTTGAAAGATGTACATTACATTACTATTACTGATAAGCTTTGCTGAAAAACAAAAAGGGGTAAAGGTGTAAAATAAACGCTAGCTTCCACAGGACCAATGGGAGGAGGAATTCAGATTTTTTTTTAATGTGTTTTCATTTGCATTCAATGAACAACAAACATGAATGTTGCCTTGATTGACAACAATTAATTATGTATCAATACTGTCGTGTTCAAAACAAAACAGTGCTTTATAAAAGACTGATAATGGTTGAGATATTCAACAAGCTATTCAACAGGCTGTGAATAGGACAGTACAGTAATAGAGTGTACTTGAGCTGTCCCATTTGTCTCCGGTTAATTAACTCTCAAGAACAGTCAAATTGTTGTTCTGATCTCTTCTGCAGGAGATTACGATCCTTTTTCCAACTCACAGTGATAACTTAGCGCTTACCTCACTTTCAGACAAAAATAACGTAGCAAACCCTACTTAAGGCTTCCTATGAGATTTGTCTAGAAACCAGGGACAAAATGCAGCACCTCACTTCCTAAGCAAAACACTGGAAGTATGTCAAATCTATGATTTGCTAACTGCA